ATCGTAAAAGAACGTAATGCATAAGCCTTTACAGATTACGAGCAGCAAAAAATGAGAGGGGAGGAGAAAACGAAGGTAGAGGTAACGTACAAATGTGAATCCATCAGTCTTATATCTTGTAACAGCTTCGTATATGTAGCCATATAAGGAACAGCAGGGAAAATACCGTAATCTCTGTTCCTCCTGGAGGACAAAAAGAAAATGTTCATCAATTTTACGCTGGAGTTGCAAAATACAGATACTGCCATGTTGGTATATTCTTTGTCTTTTTAAAAAGCTCGTTAACATGTCTAATGGCAGGAGGTGCTGACCTGGCAACTTGGATAATAGGCAAGCAGTACAGCTCTGGGTTACAAGATATCTTTCTGTAAAACTGCAGTAACTTTCGATCTCCGATATCCACCTTAAAAGACTGAAGATTGATATTAAGTCATTCACGGTAGGCTTTTTTCAAAATTACTACCAAAAAGAGTGTAACTTGAGCAAAAAACAATGGTTAGGAAGCAAACCAGAATATCATGGGAACTTGATGCCAAGGGAGGGGAATGAACGAAGGGTTTATCGATGCAGCGTTCAAGAATCCCGATTAAAACCCTGGTGGGAATAAGTAGCCAAAATCTTGCCCGTCTCAGATTAGTGGTTACAAATACCGATGCCACTCTGCTTTATCATCTTTGATTAGTACAACCATTGGAATTCCAAAGTGTACAAATAACTGTGAAGTGTGTTGAAGTCACAAACTGAGCTATTTGCCATGATAGTTACATCTCCAGCAGCAGCACATCAAATCTCTGTTCATTGATCAAGAAAATGTTATTAATAAAACTGATTATGTCTAAATAAGGTTATTAAAATTGTTTCTTAATCGAATAAAAATTGCAAGACGTCGTTAAAAAGATGAAAGAAGGACGAAAAAAAGACATAAAAAGAACAACACAAATGAAAAAAGCAATTAAAAAACTAACAAATAAACAAGACAAAAATACCTCTAGGAGCAGATCCCAGCGGATCCTCACAGCAAACAGATCCAACGTAGAAATTCTAGAGCATTATCCAATATGATTGCTACACCAAATTTTTCAATCATTAACTTTTCAAACTCCCCCTTTTGCACCAAATTTGATAAAGGTCAAACACTTTATCCAGCTCTCCCATCTTGAACCATTTTTTCATTAGTATCAGAAACGGCACATGATCAATCGGTAAATCCGAACTCTGCACCTTGAAAAAGAGCTCTTCAGCCTCCTTCATTTTGCTTTGCTTGCAGTAACATCTAAGTAATTCAGTATAAGTTATTACGTCCGGCGTACAACCCCTTCTAAGCATTTCGTCACGTAGCTGTAGTGCAGAACTGACTTCACCAAGATTACAAACAGCACCAATCAATAAATTGTAAGTCACTAAATCCGGAAAAAACCCATTCATAAGCATCTCTTTCCTCAAATAATGAGCCTCTTCGATACTCCCATTTCTTATTTCTGCGTGAATCAGAGCATTGTACGTGTGAACATTAGGCCCAACACCATATTCAATCATTTGATTTTTCACGAACAACGCCTTCTCGATGTGTCCAAATTTCCCATAGGCATCGATTACGACATTCCAAATGAGGGGTTTGGGTACGAACGAATTCTCCAGCATGTGCGAAAGAAAATTCTCCGCTCCAACTACATCCCCATTAATACACAAACCTTGGATAATCATTTTATACGTGATATGATCCGGAAAAACATCCATCCTAGACATAACACTAAAAACATAACACGCCTCGTGGATCCTACCAGACTTGCAAAGCTTGCTAATAATAGTATTGAACGTAAAAATGTCAGGAAGGTGACCACTCTTAAACATTTCGCACAAAGATTTATACACGAGGTTTATGTCCCCGTTCAGACAGTACCCATGGATAACAACATTATACGCAACAACATCCCTCTGTAATACGCCATTCCAGCACGCAAGAGCTTCATCCGTGTTGCCATTCTTGAAATAACCATCCATAAGTATAGTTGACGTGATTAAACTCGAAGCATTATCCCCTTCACTGCCATCATCCAATATTTTCTCGAGCAGCTTTTTCGCGTCCCCCAATAAGCCCTTCTGGCAAAGTGCGTGGACAAGAATATTGCACGAGACTCTATTCGGACTTATCCCACGCTTAGTCATGGTAGAGAAAAGATCGAGAGCTTTATCCACCTTATTGGCAAGGCAATAACCGTTCATTAAAGTGTTGTATGTAGCACAAGTCGGAGAAGGACCCTGGTTTAACATCTCATTAACAAGCCACTCTGCTCGCCACAAGTCACCGCTTTTGCAAAGCGCGTTTATAAGGTAATTGTGTGTGAGTACATCGGGAGTTCTTAGCTGTTGAACCACTGAACGCCAAAGCCATAAAGATGTTCCCAATTTACCTTCTAAACACAAAGCTCTTATCATAGTTACATCACTCGTGTAGTTTGTTTCCGATATGTCGTCACTACTATATGCGTGGACCCAACTTATGCTTTCCCTGCAAATAAGACCGCATCTTAATTTCACCTAAGTAGAACTGATTAACTACAATGCACACCAAAAAGCCAAAAAAAAATGGTAATTGATCAATATCAACAAAACGAACCTCATCGTTTTTAAGCGATCCAAACTGCCCTTTAACATCGAATCCAATGCATTGAAAACTGCGCCCCTCGGCTCTCCTTCTCCGTCAGAAATTTCTTCCCTCTTCCAATCGCTATCTCTAATTATACTCCTAATGGGCATAAATTTTCGAAGAAAGATGAAATGCCGGCTCGTTTACAATTAAATGATCTATGACAATAAATCAACAAAATGCTCTTACCTCGATTCAATTAAATCGAAGCTGGATTTGGAGCAAATGAACTGGGTAAAATAAAGGGCAATCTGGTCCTTCAAGTAATCTAGGGTTTGGAAGCTTCCGTTCAAAATTCGGAAAATAAAATAGGATTCTTGAGCAGGCATTAAAATCTGAATTTCGTGTATATACACAGTAAGAGAACAAAAATGAAACTAGAGAAGTTAGATTAAAAACTCGTAATCTGAGAAGAGCGTACAAAATTATGAGCATTACCGATTGCATTTGTGCCGGTTGAGCGACGCCTACTGTGCGGCGGCGACGGCGACGACGGCGGCGGCTCTTAGCTGCGGAGAATCGGAGGAATGGAAGAGTTGGGGATTTCAATTCTCAGACCAGATTTACAAATAGATACAAATGGAGAAAAATAAATCCAGCCCAAATACAAAAAGGCCTGAATTTGCTATTGGGCTATTTTGCAAAAGCAGCCCAAATATTGGGGCAAAAGAAGGATAATTTCATTTTGGATAAATTGCACCTACATCTCTAGTGTATGCTAAAATAACTATAAGGTCCCTTTGGGATTTGTAATTACAGCCACACCCCTGAAACAATTACAGAAACCAAGATTTCATTTCCTGGGGACCGATGTTTGGTTCCCGAGGGGCCGTTAATGCAACCATAGACGAAAATTTATAAATCTTAGGATTTAAGAAAATGTTAGGAGATTCATGTCACCCCTAGCTCTATGTTGTCTCCATTATTGTCTGAACTAATAGTCCGTTAGATTCCCGACAAAATAACTATCTTATGCATTATTCTGCTAAGATTTCTAACAATGTTTCAGGGGGTGATTGTTAATTATCGATACTACATGGACCTTAAAGTTAATTTTAGCATACATTAGGGATGTAGGTGTAATTGTATATGAGATTTCTAAATTCTGATTTGATTTTAATTTGTAAGTTGTAACTGGTAATATCAATTTTATGGGTCCATTAGATATACACCCCTCATATGGAAAATAAATAGGGATAGGTCCACCCCTAAAATTCTTTCTTTGAGATAACCCCCTAGAGAGGGAAAAGTACTATTGTGCCCTTATTTACAATTTTCGCCCAACTGCATTCAGCATTTTTGCTACTGCATTTAGTATTTTCGTTTTTTTTTCTTTTTTTTTTTTTTAGCTTTTTTTTTTCTGATTTTTTTTTCCGTGAAAACTTCCCTGTTTCGAATATGACTATATATGACTATATAAGTTTTTTTTTTTTTCTTTTTAGCTTTTCTTTTTTTCTGATTTTTTTTTCCCGAAAACTTCACTGTTTCGAATATGACTATATATGATTCTATAAGACTATAGTCATGTACTGTCTTTTTACCCAAAGTTATGGTCGACCGATTATATATATCGTTGATTTTATAAAAAAAAAAAATCCATCTACATCTCCAACAAAATTCAAAATTTGAATAATGATATTATAAATCAATTCGCACCCAACAAAAAATTGAAAAAATGCAATCATCAACATCACTATACATCAGAATCACCACATAACTTATATATGACTATATATAACTACATGTGAATATATATGACTATATCTATATGACAATATGTGACTATATATGACTACATGTGATTAAATATAACTACATGTATATGACTACATGTGACTATATATGACTACATGTATATGACTACATGTGACTATATATGACTACATCTATATGACTACATGTGACTATATATGACTACATGTATATGACTACATGTGACTATCTATAAAAGTATAGTCATATATAGTGTAGTTTGTATTTATAGCTTCAAATCCCACTTTTCACCACGACAGCAACTCCGATCTATCGCGAAAGAACTATTTTGAATTGACGAACACCATGTCCTCTCGACAAAAAAATAGTGCTAGAAGTTGTTTAAACACCGAGACCTGTAACAAAAAAATAATAATTTAATTTGACGAACACCATGTCTCTCGATAAAAACTTCGTACATAGAAGTTGTTCAAACACCGAGAACTGTGACAAAAAATCAACAATTATCATTAACTGCAATAACACAATCAAATTCGAAATACATAAATTATTATTAATATACGTTCAAATGTACAAATCAAAATCAATTCCTTTTACAAGTTCATGTTCACATAATAATCCTCTACAGTAACACTCTGTGCTACATTCCTCAAATTTTTTATTTATTAAAAAAATGCAAACTTCCACCGATTATCAATATAACATCATCAAGCTTCTATCTCTATCTTTTTGTTTAAAAAAAAAAAAAACTGAAACTTCAATATTCATTGAGAAACAAAAAGAGTGCACATGGGATAAACAAGGTTGTGAACAGATAAAACTTTTGGTAATTCCATTGACCTATGCATAATGCATCCCAATTTGTTTTGATTTTTAATTTATGCAAACACAAAAAAATTATTAAGCAAACGATTAGGATTTAATAATAACTGGACAACAGGGGAAAAATAAACCGAATCACCTTAAAGATGTAGATCTTGTTTGTCTTCACGTTCTTCTTCGTCCTCTTCTTCTTCTCTCCGCCGATGGCCGCCTTTCCGGCGTCCTTGGGGAGCTTCTTGCCAGCCTTCGGCTTCTTCTTCGACACCACCACCAGAGATTTGTTTTTTTTTTTGGCGATAGAAACTTAGAGAGAGGGAGAGAGAGGAAGAGAAGAAGACTTTTTTTTTTTGCGATAGAAACTTCGAGAGAGGGAGAGAAGACGAGAGGGAGAGAGAGGAAGAGAAGAAGACAGAGAGAGAAAGCGGATCGGGGAAATAAAACGGCGTGGGTTTGGTGGAAGAGAGATTAGGGCAAATATTTGAATTAAAACTAAAAGGGTAAAACGGGTATTTTAAATTGTTCAGGGGGGTCTCACTAATTAAGATTAGAATTTGGGTTTTTAACTATGACAAAAATATTTAATGGGCCTCCTCGTATATATTTTCAAAACTAGGGGGTTATCACTCATTTCCCCTTCTTTTGATTACAATTTACTCATCTTGG